CTCAGTTGCCTGCCTGGTGCTTTGATGGTATATGACACAAGAGCTATGTTGTTTTTTTAAATTGTTCAAATAAAAAGTCCTGTGTCGGTTAAGGAATTTGAAAACAGGGATATTAATGTTGGCAGGAAATCAGTTTAAGCTGCGTCATTGCATTGTGGATTTTCCCTTGTGGCCTGCAGATGATTTGAGGGGTGGATTATGGATCAAGTACCTGTGTCCCTGATCCTTTTACAGCTGGACATGCTGTTCAGTGCTCCAAAATACAGTAGTTGGATTCAGTGTTAAGAAAGGAAAATGAAAAGTCAAGGACAAGGGAGTAACATGACTGGAGGCAAGCAAATCATAGAGATAACAAAATATATACGTCAGATAAACCAGGAGGACAAATTGTCAAGTAGAGATATAGGGTCAACCTTGGGTGAGCGTTCCTCACCGTCGATGATTGCATAAAATGCCCATCAACAGGATTTTGATCCAGTTTGGATTAGGCGTCAGCCTGGCTCATTTGGTAGCTCTCTTGCTTCTGAGTCAGAAGATTGTGGCGGCAAGCCCTACGTTAGTACATTAAATTAATATAACTGTATGTTGAACTAATATCACGTCAGTACATTGAACTAATTACTGATAGTCTTAATATGATGCTCCAATACAGAGCTAGGGGTACGCTGATTTGTTGGTTGTATTGTCTTTTGGATGAGGTATTAACTTAAAAATGTTATTTTTAATCTATATATTTTTTAAATCCTTGCATTTGATATAACGGTTTCAGAAGGAAAACCTTTCAAGGCACTTTGCAGGAATTACTCTAAAGTGTAATGACTGTATTTTGTGGGCAAATGTTGGCTCAATGCATTTTATGTGTCAAGTTTTTCTTTCCTTCTCTAACTGGTAGGATAAGGTTCCAATGGTCCTTTTGTACCTTGTCTGAGTGGAAGTTCTTTATGTACGAGCCCAGCTGAGTATCAGCAGAGTAATTAACTAACAGTATCCGAGTCAAACCCGATTCCTGTTCTCCTATAACATCCACTCACATTCACTCTCCGTCTCAGGCAATCATTGTGATCTGGACCAGCAGAATCCTTTTCCTTGTTACACACACAAAGGGGTTAAAAATTCCATTCAGTGCAGCACGCAACTGGGGACATGTCACTGCAATGAAATCGCATTAGTGGCTGGCTTGACCAAAGGCAATCCGTGCAAGGCTGAACAGTTTTTACTCACAAGAGGCTGAATCTAATTGTTAGGCTCAGCTTTTGTCCTCTTTACTGACTCTCGGTCTCTCATGGAGCAAGGATCAAACCTGCAGATTAGCTTGGTGTTGTGATGTTTTTGTGAACTGGAAAGGGTTTTCTATACAGAAAAAGTTTTCCGTACAGGTTGTTTTGCTACATAAAAGGAACTTACACACTTTTGCAGCATCTACAATATAGAAACATCTCAAAGCATTTCACGGTAATTACTGTGAAGTACTGTATAGTGACTTGTTTGTGGGTTCACGCATCAGCTATTTTGTATATAGCAAAGTCCCAAACACAGGAAGATCCCGAAGAACCAATTTTATCTGGAGGCTGATTAACAAGGAACTCCCTTCACTTGAAAGTCCCTTCACTTTTCAAGGCAAAACACTGGTAACATTTCCTTACTCCACACGCCTGTTTACCCAGCACGGTCGTTACTCAATTGGTGGATCACTTTTCCGGAGGTAATGACTTCTTCAAAAATAAATAATAAATTGGTCACTCAATTCACGACTGTTTGTGGGATACTGCTGTGCGCAATTGGCTGCCACGTTTCGCCCACAAAATAAACAAGTCAATTCACTTTGCAGTGTATTTTGTGAAGCGCTTCAGGACATCTCGAAGACTGTGTCAAATGCAAGGATTATTATTAAATAGCATTACCGAGAATCTTTAACTTCCAGAGGAAAAACAGATACGGAATTAAATCAAAGGTTTGTTTTACACTAACTCCAGCTGCACCATTTGACTTGCCTGCTTGGATTTCCTCTCAATTTCTATCTATCTATCCATCTCTTGGTGCTTTGACACCTTGGTTTCAAGGAGTTTTTTTTAATTAAGTCTAAGGATAATTAGCAGCTTTGTCGATTCTCAGAGCTCAGCAGCAACGACTGCATTGTCAGGAGCTCCTGAGCTCGACATCTCTCAAATACACGAGTGATATGATACCCCATATGGAGAGGGCATTGCTTGACAAGATGTATACATCTTCAACAGATGGCTACAACACCCGGATACATATTTTAAAGATTGCGATCTCTCTATCTGAATGAATATATTAATAACAAGGTCTCTGCCGGGTGCTGAATAATTCGTACCGGCTGTTTGCAGGACTTCATGTCAGCGCATGCAAATACAGAACCCAACCCCCATCTATGAGGTATCCCGCAGGCATCAAGCCACATCTTTACATTGTCTGGATGCTGTTGACACGCAGGAATTTGTATGCATGTTTTACATTGGTTACACAGTGACAGCTTGGCTCTTTTGTACCACAATAGTCTCTGGGTTCTCCTGGTGATCAATTCATTGACTTTGATGCCTGCTGTGTTTACCTTCAAATAGAGTCACTACACATAACAGCGATATTAGTAAAGATATAGATCAGCGTGACCTAATTAAATGGCGGAACAGGCTCAACGGGCTGAATGGCCTACTCCTGTTCCTATGTTCCTGTGTTCCAATCAATCCCAAATTCTTCAAAACATTTCCACATGATAAAGACTCACATTTGCGATTTGATTTCATACAGTGCTACATCAAATCCAAATTCTTTCTTCAACTGTTGAGTTAAGAGGAACCAATATATAAGTGGAAGTTATTATTATTTTGTCTGAAGAATTGTTGGTCAATTCCACCAGAACTGTGTCAATTAGACAGGACCTCGATTTAACACTACAGCTGAAGGACGGCAACTCTGACAATGCAGTGGTTTCCCCAGTACTATGTTGTAGTGTCAGCTTGGACCATGATCCTAGAGTATTATCGGATCCGGCGACGGATAAAAATAATATCGAGAGAAGTAGTTTGAAGGTGTTACTGAACGAAGCCATGTGAGGCACTATACCCTGTAGTGACTGTAGCTTCACACTTTTTAGACAAAAACCTTACCATAGTGGGTGCAATGAAGTGCTCCAGGACGTTATCCAGTGTGCAGGGCGCTATATAAATGGAAGTTGTTGTTGAGCCTCTTTTGGTAGACAGAACATTGACTTTGTGTTGGAGAAGATTCCGGGAATGAATGTGAAGCTCTGAATCTAAATCTTATAATAATCCTCATTTTGTCCCGAAGCACTTCACAGAATACACTGTAAAGCGCAGTGACTGGGTGTTTTGTGGACAAACACAGCAGCCAATTTGCAAACTCTGGTGTCCCACATGAAGTGAATGGCCAATTTTATTTGGGAGATTCTTAGCCAGGCCGCCGGGAGAAATTCATGTCAGTTAAACATAAGAATTAGGAGCAGGAGTAAGCCATTCGGCCCCTCGAGCCTGCCCCGCCATTCGATAAGATCATGGCTGATCTTCTGACCTGACTCTAATAACCTGCCCTATCCCCATAGCCCCTAATGCCTCTGTTTTTTGAAAATCTATCAGTCTCAGCCTTGAAGGTGTTCAAGGATGGTGCATTGGGCAGGAATACACTTTAGACTATGTGTGTTCCAAGTGCCGAGGTGGGGCTTGAACTGACAACCGCCTGGCTCAACGTCGAGAATGCTGCCAAATGGGCCAGGCTGACATCTCAATCTGTGAGGAAGTCAATCTGCAGTTCAGGCTTTACAGTTTACAGGATCTACCTCACTGGCAGCAGGTTGTTCAATAGCAGCTGTTGCTTTGAACATGATCCAAGTAAATGATGAAGATCTATTTCCGCCTGTATGTGATGAATCTAAGATTATAACCTGGAGCATGAATGATGATAATAATAATCCTTGCATTTGATATAGCGCTTTTCTAGACGTCTCAAAGCGCTTCACAGAATATACCATAAAGTAAAACCCGAGCAGCACCCCCTCCCACCTGCTTGGGTCCAAATCCCTGAGTGTCCAGCGCCTTGCGACGTCCTCCCGACGCAAAAGGCACTTTACAAATGTAATCTTGCATTGCATTCCTTCTCCCTGAAGGCGTTTTGACTTATTTTGCCTTGACTGAGGTTGGCTTCCATGTTATGTTGTCCAGGCTCTCTCACTGTATCACAGTCCTCCAGCTTCCCCTCTCTCCTGGCCCATTCTTTGATTTCCTTTTACTTCTGAATAGCTATAATATGTCCTGACCAATATTCCTCACTCTCCTCAAGATTTAGATCAATTGGCCACTCATCAGATTAGCTGCTTTGTTCTGCTTGATTGCCACATTGCCATACGCTCTAAAGTAATTATTTTGTGAAACACACTATTGAATGCAAGTATCATTATTCTACACTCGGGAACAATTGAAATCGAAAAGGAGTTCAGTCAAGTTAAAAGTTTTTCTTTTTTGTTCATCTCCTATCAGTCACATCTCCCATTCACATCAGAAAGACTGAATTTAATTGCAGTCTATTATTTGGGCTGTTTCCCCCACCCCGTTCAAGTTGCTCCCCTTTATGTGCTCAGCCATGACAAGTTACAGCACCAGTAGTTCTCCAACTAGCCATCCAGACAGGGGAAATGAGGCAATGTGGCCAAGCCTATTAAGAGAATCAAAAGCAAATGGAATTATGGAGGAGGGCATCAACACAGCGTCTGATTCTCCCAGCAATGTCTACATCTCAGTTTCCAAAAGGGGTGAGTAGGTCGTAATCAGATGCCTGCAATTCCACCCAGCTTGAAACACCGTACCTTGAAATTAAAGACAACGCATTATTGTGAAATATACTTAAATTTAGTCTTAACTGGTCTTAACAATAGTAGTAATAATAGTCCTTACATTTGGTACAGCGCCTTTCGCAAGATATATTATAAAGTGCAGCGACTGTGTGTTGTGCGCGAACGCAAACCAGCTTTCAAATTAAGACTGGATTTAAGAACTTTCTGAAATTCTGCACCATCTTTGAATTTCAAGACAAAGTGGTCTTGCAAGCTCAGACTAGGTGGAGAGTCAGATCCAGTAGTGTAAACTCTGGATGCTTTTTCTCCCCCTCTATCGTAACCCAGTGGGTGACGACACTTAATTGTGGCACCACCCCACAAATACTGCTGTGCCACCTGCGATCAGGTACTTCAACACAGATCAGCGACCTGGGATCTTCCCGATCAGTATGTCTGAGCTTCACTCTAGGACAGTGGCCGCATCTACTGACCAAAGGGGAGCCATTGATCTGAGCATCAATGTGACATCTTCCATGCCATGACTGTCTGAAGAACTGCTTTGTACACAAGTTGAAAAGAATGGTCTTTTTTCCCATCCCCACCCCATCCCCCCCAGCCAGGAATCTTCACATTTTCTTCATCTTTTTCTTCGGACGCTGGTTGAAAACGGGCGAAGAATTCATCAGGCTGTCAGGAGAGTGGGAGACGTAGCTGGCGTCTGAGCCCGCTGTGTTGGGAGTCTGTGGGATGCCCGTTTCACTCATGCCGGACATGGGCTCCTCGAAGACATCATTTCCCAAGACGCCATGTGGAGGCACATTACCTTCCTCGCTCTCCTGAGGCTCCATTTTAACCTGAGTGAGGTTCCACAGGGGAGAGCTGCTCACTTCTGGGCCTGAAAACAGCAAGAAAGAAACAAGTTGCATTTATATAGTGTCCATCAAGTAACACAGACTGTGCCATCGATATCCTGAGAACAGTGCAGCCCAGTGATGGGCAAGTGAACTTTTAGCATTTAACATGTCAGCATCTCCACACTCGGCAGATTAAGATAACAGATGCCTAAGAGTTTCAGAGAGTCGCTTAAGAATAAGTGATGCATTGATATTAATTATTATTAATGTGTGTGTCAGTGTATGAGGGGAGGAGGTGGCACCTGAAGACCTGCCTCTTCAATCGTGCCTACGGTCACTTCCCCCTCCCCTGGCTCCAACTTACATTTATATAGTGTGAGGGGCACTATATAAATACAACTTGTTGTTGATGTAGTGGGTATAACATCCAAACATTGAAAAGCACTTCACAGAGAATTGCTGTCAAGTGTAGTGACTTATAAATTTGTAGGAAAATGTGGCAGCCAATTTGTACACTGCACCAAGTACATGTATGAACTGAGTACACAATTTATCTGGAGGATTGATGGCCGTCGAGAGAAATTCCCTTCTCTTCTTGAATATTTTTTAAAAAAGCATCCACCTAAACAGACAGAAGGGACCTACATCTACTGTCTCATCTGAAGGTCTGCACCTCCAACAGTGCAGTGTAGACTGTGAATTCAAAGTACAAGCAGCCGGAAAGCTTGCCAGGCAGCAAGCTGTATGGTTTTAGTTGGTTAGATTCCAGCAGTTACTCCAATGCACACTCTGGGGTCTCCAAGCCTTGGCTCTTGACAACCTGCACCTAACACTCTATGGAATTAGGTAAACAGGATGTGTCCCAACCTGTAGGGAGTGCACATTCCATTCCATGGATGCATTGAACTCTGTTTGGTTACTCTTAAGCATGGTGATGATTTTCCACATATCAGACACCCAGATTTTGCACATCCCTTATACCCTCAAACATTAAAGTTAAACAACTTTGAGCTGGCTTGGGGTATATTCTCGTTCTTCTGGAACTGACACGCTCCTCTGGATGGACGCAATGATGGTTTTATATACTGTATGAAATGTTAAATGATAAAATTGTTATGATCAGATTGTATGACCTTTTGTACATATCTTCCTAACATTGATTCCCATTTGCCTCAAAATAAACAATTGCTACACTTAAGAGTAGCTACTGTGAGGCGCTTTCAGATATATTTACGTGATAAGGCAAAGATTATTATTGTAACAATAGTAAGAAATCTCTCATTACTCCATTAATATTGAAGCGCTTTGAGACACCTCGAAGATGTGATAAGGCGCTATATCAAATACAAGGATTATTAATATTATTATATTATTATTATATACATTTGTAAAAGTATAAATATTTTAATTTATTTTAGTGGCAGATAAACACATCTGAAAGCGCCTCACAGTAGTTACTCTTAAGTGTAGCAATTGTTTACTTTGAGGCAAATGGGAATTAATTCATAAAAATATGTTTTTTGAATACTGTTTACACTATGTAGGGCATAGGCTTAACATCAGGTTAAAACGATTAAACAGGAGGTTAGTAACAAAATTCTTTCAGCCCCTCACCTGAAGTCTGAGGGGATGCATCAACTTCAAACCGTTCATGAGTCTGAGCGAGGACACCGAGTTGAAGGGCCTGGTCACCCGCAGATGGATCGCTCTCGTTCTCCTCGTTGATGGGGAACGTAATGTCGCTGATGGGTTCTTCCTTGATTTTCAGCGGCTTCGCATCTTCCATGGAGGTTTTCTCCGGACTGACGAGTTTTTCATACTCCTCAGCGAGCTGCTTGCTCACCTGTAGGTCGTGGATAAGTTGTACACATAAGTGGTCATGCTCCTTGGATGTAGTACAGGGCTTATCATGTCGAGATTGGTGTCAGACATATTGTTTATTCTTAAGAAAACATAGCAGTCCATTTTATATATAATAAAGTTCCACAAGCAGTGCTTCTAAATAAACTGATATTAGCAGTGAAGCCTCTATATAAGCTGATAATAATAATCCTGGCATTTGCTATAGCATCTTATCACGTCTTTGAGACATTTCAAAGCGCTTCACGATAAAGTGAATTGACTGTATATTTTGTGGGCGAAACGCGGCAGCGCACAACAGCGTCCCACAAACAGTCGTGATTTGAGTGACCAAATTATTATTTTTATTGAAGGAATTATTACCCCCAGAAAAGCAATCCGCCAATTGACTAATTACCAGATTCCTACTTACTGTTAGATAAACAGAGGCGCGTGGAGTATGGAAACTTGCCCAACCACTAAGCTGCAGGACTCCGCCTTTGTGGAGTTTGACAACGAGCTGCAAGCGGGAGCCGCATGAGACGCTCTGCCAGGGTTTAAGATCATCCAGTACGACACTGTGAAGATCTCCGTTGCAAAGAAATAAAGTCCGTTCTCACTCGCAGGCTCGTTTGTTTCAAGCAATGTTAGGAATGGGTTACGAGGTTCTTCCCTCCCCGTGTGTTTTAGTTCCGAGTCAATGGGTTGTTCGTTGCCTCTCGATGTTTGACACTTCAGTTAAGTGTCAGGTGAGGAATCTTGCGTTCAGATTTGTGTCTCACTGTCGCACCCCCACCCCCACTCTGAGGAGCTGTTAACACCCCGCCACCCCCACCCCTACACACACACCATGTGCGACCATCTCCCTGGACTCCGTCACCAAGTGGGGAACTCCAGGCCCTGAAATCCTTCCCCATCCCAGCCTGTGAGGCCGCCTGGTTCGATTCCCGGTCAGGGCGAAACTTCAAGCATGTTTCCTTACTCCACACACGCACCTCTATTTAAGTGGTGATAAGCAGGAGCCCAGTTGTTTGTTGATTAGCGGATCGCTTTTCCAGGGGGTATTAATCCCCACCCCTCCCACACAAAAAAAAATGTGGTCACTCAATTCATGTCTGTTTGTGGGACACTGCTGTGCACAATTGGCTGCCGCGTTTCACCCACAAAATATAGTTAATTCACTTTACAGTATATCCTGTGAAGCGCTTTGCGACATCTCAACATGATAAGGCGCTATTTCAAAAGCAAGGATAACTATATTAGCAGTGAGTGCCTCCATATAAAATGCTAGCAATGAGCAACTCTATATTTACTAAGAATATTAGTAAGCAGCATATCTAATATAAATTTACATGTCAGTGTGATACAACATCTACTTGCATTTATATAACCTTCTTCGTGAAGGTAGTGTCTCAGAGGACTTAACAGTTGCACCCCGATGTAGAAAGAGAGGGGAGGTGACTGAAGGTAGGGTCAAAGAGGAAAGTCCTCAGGTGTAATCTGAAGACAGACAAAGTGGGGACAAAAAGGAGGGATGGAGACAGGGAGATTTGGGGCATAGTGGCTGAAATCATGGCCGCCAGTGGTGGAGCTGAGGGTATAAGGGACGTGCAGAATCCCAATGGATGAAACGTGACAGCCAATTGCGCACAGCAGCGTCCCACAAACAGTCGCGGATTGAGTGATCAAATTATTATTGTTGGAGTGCGAGCAGATCGGAGAGGTTTCGGGCACGTTCTCTTCCGAGAAGCGATGAGTGTGTTTACACACTATAAAACATGCATGAGCCTAGCACTCACCTGAAGCACGTAGCTGTGATAGTCCTTGATGCGGTGCTGCCAGTATTTCTGCAGAGAGAGCACGCTGCCGATGCCCACCTCATGAAACACCTGCTCCATCACATCCTGGAACGGTGTCTGCCCAACCCGGGCCTCCCGATCAGTGGCAAACCGCAGGAGCCGGGTGAACTTGAAGTAGTAGTCGCTGGCGATGTCCGTCAGCGTCTCCAGGACGCTTTCGTTGGCTGATTCGAAGCCAGCGTGGGCCAGGATGGTGGCCACAGACTGGTACAGGAGCTGCCTGCAAGACGTCCAGCTTAACTCTGTCACCGGTTCGCCTTTCCCTCTGGAGATACAAAGAATCACAGCAATCACATGCCATTTGTCTCTCCATGTAAAACGTTGGCCAAACACAAGTTAGCACTAACGTCCTGTTCAGCCCTCCTCACCAGCCTCCTTAGCTCGGCATTTCGCAAACTCCCAACTCATCGAGAACCCATATTCTCTACCTTAGCGGGCTGTGTGTGCCCATTAATCCCATCCTAAATAAATAAAAATAATAATAATAATTTTGTCACGCAAGCCACGACTGTTTGTGGGACGCTGCTGGACTCAATTGGCTGCCGTGTTTCGCCCACAAAATATAGTCAATTCACTTTACAGTACATTCTGTGAAGTGCTTTGAGACGTCTCGAAGACATGATAAGGCACAATATCAAATGCAAGGATCATCATTATTATTTTATCCTTGACACGCTCTTAAATTCCTTGAGAGCTCTTAAATTACACAGTGAGATAAGGAATGGAGTGGATGTTATGGAGGCAAACACAGCAGCTAATTTGTACTTGTAAATGTCCAATTAATGCGAACTCCTGTGCTGAATTTGGATGATGAAGAAATATTATCCAAAATAACAAAGCAAAACTCCACTTCTTAAAATAGCAGTGGGGGGCAGGGGGAGGGCGAGCAGAGGAGAAAAGGCAGATGGGACTCATTTAAAAAAGGGATAATGATCCAGAACAAAACTTGTATTAAATTTTATTAAACATAAAACGTTAACCAGGTAACAATAATCCTTGCATTTGATACAGCGCCTTATCGCGTCTTCCAGATGTTTCTAAAGTGAATTGACTGTGTATTTTGTGGATAAAACGCGGCAGCCAATTGTGCACAGCAGTGTCCCACAAACATTCGTGGATTGAGTGACCAATTTTTTTTTAGGGAATTATTACCCCCAGAAAAGCGATCGGCCAATCGATTAACAACCGGGTTCCTACTTACTGCTGGGTACACAGAGACGTGTGGAGTAAGGAAACTTGCCCACCATTTCGCCCGGGTTCTCTCACTTGCGAGGTGAGCGCTCTAACCACCGAGCTACAGTGCTTCACAGGTGCCCAGTTTGTTCGGTCCATAGAACTCTTGCACAGTGTAAGGTGGCTGTGGATTCAAGCCCCACGTCGAGGCCGTGGAACTACACTCTGGGCTGACACTCCAGTGCAATACTGAGGTGAATGTTGCAAGGCCATTGCCATCGGATGGGATGTTAAACCGAGGCCCATGATCCCATAAAGATCCCGTGATACAATTCAAAAAGAGAAGGGAGTTTCTCCAGATTAATTGGTCATTCAATCAAGTCTGTTTGCGGCGTCTTGCTGTGCACAAAATGGCTGTAACATTGCGGTTGCCTTCAACAAAACAATCAATACATGTCATAAGAACATAAGAAACGCTAGATAAAAAACACCAAGGACCATCTCGTTCGTCTTCCACCTTCCTAGTGGTCGCATGCATATTATGTGTCCCGAACTAGCTATGTACTATATCCCATAATGTTATTTCCTAATCTGTGTTTGAAGGAATTTCCTGCTTCAACAGTCTCCCCAGGGAGCTTGTTCCACAGGTTTACTTCTCGCTCACTGATATAGTGTTTGTTTAGAGTCGTTCTGAATTCCCTCCCCCCTTGAATCGCAGGCCGTGTCCTCAGGTTGTACAATTCTGGACGAGTTGAATCAGCCTGTCATTGTCTCGCCCCTTTAGAATCATAAAGACAGTAATCTTATCTCCAAGCCGCGCAGAAAAACAAATATTTCACGAAATTTCAATGTTACAGGCGCTCTAAAACCAGTTGTTAAGTCGATTGGTGGATTTTTAATAATCCCTTAAATGAAAGGTACCTGTTTAGTCTCTTAGTCGACTGTTTGTGGGACACTGCTGTGAATTGACTACACATTGGCTGCCGAGTTTCGGCTACAGAATGTACCGTCAATTCACTTTACAGTATATCCTGTGAAGCGATTCGAAACGTCTCCAAGATGTGATAAGGCACTGTGTCAAATGCAAGGATTATTAACATTATAAAAATGCAAGTTCTTCTCTTCTTCCACTTCATTTAGCAGCTCACCTGTAGAAGTCGCTCTCTGGGTCGCTGTGTTTCAGCTGGAAGGATAGTTTGGGCGTCGCGCTTTCTGTGGGCAACAGCTCGTCTGGGACAGGCGGTAAGCTAGGCAGGAGGGAAGTGGCTCCATCTCTTCGCTCTTTATCCCCTCGGGTTGCTGCTGGCTCTGAGCGGTGGCAATGAGGCTCCGCAGACGCCTGTTATACTGCATCAACTGGATGGTGTGGATGGTCAGGCCGCAGGGTTCGGATGGGACATCCAACATGGTGGTGGGCCGAGGCTTGTTGGCCGAGGGCTGGTGGAGTGGCGGGTCCTGGACCTCGACCGTCCGAAATTCCCGCTGCAGCAGGTCAAAGGAGCTCCTGCTGGGCTGATTGGAAGAAACAGGAATCTCGCCCCAGTATTTCATCATCTTCGCTGTGTTCAGTCGGCCGTGCGAGGCCAGTCAATGGAGACAAGTTAGCAAAAAGAAAACACAATGCGGTCCTATTAACTGGGGGGAAATTGGCTAAGTTCCAATGGTGTTGGAAACCTCCATCAGAATGTTCTGGAATTACTGAAAACTGGATCAGCCGAACTCAAAACCGTCAAGCTCTTGCTGCACAGGGAGATGGATAATATTCAGCTGCGGACTGGGAGTAACGGGTCATCCTTTCGCGCTGTCGTTAAGAATTTAGTTCGATGAAAGCATCTCCGGAACGACTGCAGTATCCCGGGTAAAACCTGTCAACAGAGAGAAAAGAGCTTATTGTTACTGAATCAGTGCTACTGTTATTGCTGTACATTGTAACTGTGCGCATTATTGGTATTTTGTTAATGTTATTGCTGGTACGTTATTGTTATTGTTATTAACAGACACAGTTACTGTTGGTACTGGGCTATTTGTTGCTATTATCGGTACATTTTTACTATTGCTGCTGTTGCATTGTTACTGTTATTACTGTCATTACTCATGTTGCTGCTGTTCGGTATTACTCTTGTTGTTGTGCCTTATTACTCTCCCAGTTATTAGTTATTTATTACTCTTGTTCCTAATGTTGGTTATTACTCTTTACAGTTGCTGCTGGCTGTTAGTTATTACTCTTGTTGCTGTGGTTGACTGTGTTGCTCGTCCCCTGACAATACCCCCTTTTTTCCCCCGACCTCCGTCACATTGCCCGCCCGTCCGCACCGCACAACCAACGCAGCACCGAAGCCCGCCTTCCCGGCTGGATTATTCCGATGCCCCCACCCTCACCCGCACCCCCCGGCTGGTCTGGTCTGGTCTGGTCTGGTACTCCCCTGCGCCGCCAGACACGCAACTCCGACGCCCGGTTACTAACCCCCACAAAACTCCGTGCCCCCATCGCTCGCCGCGGTTCCTCACCAGACTCCGCTGACTCCCGATTACCGAACCGTCGCTTTCAACATCCTCTCACTCTGCTTTACAAACCCCGTCACATCCTGATCACCGCCCACTCCCCCCCCCCCCCCCCCCCCGCCCGCTCCCCCCCCCCCGCCCGCTCCCTCCCCCCACCGCCCGCTCCCTCCCCCCCACCGCCCCGCCCTCCCCCCACCGCCCGCTCCTCCCCCCCCACCCCCCCGCTCCCTCCCCCCCCCCCGCCCCTCCCCCCCCCACCGCCCCTCCTCCCCCCCCCCCGCTCCTCCCCCCACCGCCCCCCCTCCCCCCCCCCCCCCTCCCCCCCACCCCCCCTCCCCCCCACCGCCCGCTCCCTCCCCCCACCGCCCGCTCCCTCCCCCCCCCCGCCCGCCCGCTCCCTCCCCCCCCCCCCGCCCGCCCCCCTCCCCCTCCCCCCCCCCACCGCCCGCTCCCTCCCCCCACCGGCCCGCTCCCTCCCCCCCCCCCCGCCCGCTCCCTCCCCCCCCACCGCCCCGCTCCCTCCCCCACCGCCCGCTCCCCCCCCCCCGCCCTCCCCCCCCCCCGCCCGCTCCCCCCCCCGCCCCGCCTCCTCCCCCCCCGCCCGCTCCCTCCCCCCCACCGCCCGCTCCCTCCCCCACCCCCGCCCCTCCCGCTCCCCCCCCCGCCCGCTCCCCCCCCCCCGCCCGCTCCCCACCCCCCCCGCCCGCTCCCTCCCCCCCCGCCCGCTCCCTCCCCCCACCGCCCGCTCCCTCCCCCCACCGCCCGCCTCGCCCCCTCCCCCCCCGCCCCCTCCCCTCCCCCGCCCGCGCCCTCCCCCCACCGCCCGCTCCCCCCACCGCCCGCTCCCTCCCCCCCACCGCCCGCGCCCTCCCCCCCACCGCCCGCTCCCTCCCCCCCACCGCCCGCTCCCTCCCCCCACCGCCCGCTCCCTCCCCCCCCCCCGCCCGCTCCCTCCCCCCCCCGCCCGCTCCCTCCCCCCCCCCACCGCCCGCTCCCTCCCCCCCCCACCGCCCGCTCCCTCCCCCCCCCGCCCGCTCCCTCCCCCCCCCCCCCCCCCCGCCGCTCCCTCCCCCCCCCCCGCCCGCTCCCTCCCCCCCACCGCCCCTCCCTCCCCCCACCCGCCGCTCCCTCCCCCCCCCCCGCCCGCTCCCTCCCCCCACCGCCCGCTCCCTCCCCCCCCACCGCCCGCTCCCTCCCCCCCCCGCCCGCTCCCTCCCCCCCCCGCCCGCTCCCTCCCCCCTCCCCCCCCGCCCGCTCCCCTCCCCCCCCCCCCGCCCGCTCCCTCCCCCCCCCCCGCCCGCTCCCTCCCCCCCCCCGCCCGCTCCCCCCCCCCCGCCCGCTCCCTCCCCCCCCCGCCCGCTCCCTCCCCCCCCCGCCCGCTCCCCCCCCCCCGCCCGCTCCTCCCCCCACCGCCCGCTCCCTCCCCCCACCGCCCCTCCCTCCCCCCACCGCCCCTCCCCCCACCGCCCGCTCCCTCCCCCCACCGCCCCTCCCCCCCCCCGCCCCCCCCCCCCCCCCGCCCCTCCCTCCCCACCGCCCGCTCCCTCCCCCCACCGCCCACTCCCTCCCCCCCCACCGCCCGCTCCCTCCCCCCACCCCCACTCCCCCCCCACCCACTCCTCCCTCTCCCCCAACCTGCCCCCACCCCCTCTGTCCCCCGCCCGCTCCACCCCCCCCTCCCTGAACCCCCGCCGCTCGGGGTCAGACTCGGGCTGAGGCGCTGCACAGACACAAGTTGTTGTTCTTATATCATATTATACTATAACTATAGTGTCACAAACACTCATTAATCCCCACCAGTACTTACAGCGAGAAACGGGGGGCGGTGGGGGTCACAGGGCCCGGGGGGGGGGGAGGCCGGTGGGGGGTCACAGGGCCCGGGGGGGGGGGGAGGCCGGTGGGGGGTCACAGGGCCCGGGGGGGGGGGGGAGGCCGGTGGGGGGGTCACAGGGCCCGGGGGGGGGGGGGAGGCCGGTGGGGGGTCACAGGGCCCGGGGGGGGGGGGGCAGTGGGGGGTCACAGGGCCCGGGGGGTGGGGGGGGCGGACACTGACTCGGGGCCGCGGTCAGACGTTGACCCGGAACTAGAACTGCCGGAGGAGGAGGAGCGGAGCCAATGGCGGAGGGTGAGAGAGACTGAGGGGGGGAGAGGGGGGGGACTGGGGGGGGACTGGGGAGAGGGGGGGGGGAGAGGGGGGGGAGAGAGGGGGGGGGGGGGACTGGGGAGAGAGGGGGGGGGAGAGGGGGGGGGACTGGGGAGAGAGAGGGGGGGACTGGGGGAGAGGGGGGGGACTGGGGAGAGAGGGGGGGGGGAGAGGGGGGGGGGACTCGGGAGAGAGGAGAGGGGGGGAGAGAGGGGGGGGGACTGGGGAGAGAGGGGCGGGGACTGGGTGGGGGGGAGAGAAGTGGGGGGACTGGGGGGTGGAGTGAGGGGGGGACTGGAGGGGGAGAGAGGGGCGGGGACTGGGGGGGGGAGAGAAGGGGGGGACTGGGGGGTGGAGTGAGGGGGGGACTGGAGGGGGAGAGAGGGGGCGACTGAGTGGGGGGGAGAGAGAGGGGCGGGGACTGGGTGGGGGGGAGAGAAGTGGGGGGACTGGGGGGTGGAGTGAGGGGGGACTGGAGGGGGAGAGAGGGGGGGGACTGGGGGTGGAGAGGGGCGGTACTGGGGGTGGGGAGAGAGAGTGGGGGGGCATGGGGAGGGCAGGGACTGGAGGAGACCGGGGTGGGGGGTGGGGGGCAGATTTGTGACCCGGGACGGGTGGGGAGGGTCAGGGAGGAGGTTTGGATCCTGGAGTTGGAGATGGCTCAGTCCGGGAGCGTCTTCCGCGCTCTGTGTTGAAGTTGTTGATGTAACAGTAATCGTTAAAGAGGGAAGTGTTCGGGGGGTGGAGAGGGTTTGGGTCATTAACTCAGCGCCAACTCCTGCCGCTGATGTGTACGTTGGTTAATTTTGTGTCTCCGCTATCCGCAGCTTGTGCTACCCCGTCTCACATCCTGAAGACCCTTTAACTTAACCCCATTTGTTTTCGTACCTAAAGGATAATTATCACATTCCTGGATAATTGTTTGGGGAGGACACGTTCGCGGGGCTCCGGGGAGGGGGCGGGGGAGCGGGATCGAATTGGACAACTCTTTTTCAAAGAGCCGGGAGTGGCCGAATGGCCTCCTTCTGCGCTGCGTAGTGCTGTGATTCTATGAAGACTCGTTCTTAAAGAGCTCCCGTCTTCTCGTCGCAGCATCGGTCTGTTTCGTGCATCGGTCCTGTGCCCTTGGCTTCTTGGTTACCTGTTCCAGCCACTAATTTCCCTATGCGTAAAGAAATACTTCCCGGTTCTTTTCCTATAAGTGGAGTCCTGTAGCTCAGTGGTTAGAGCACTCGCCTTTCAAGTGAGAGGACCTGGGTTCAATTTCTAGGCCAGGGTGAAACGTTGGGCAGGTTTCCTGACTCCACACACCTCTGCTTACCCGAGCAGTAATTAGGAACCCGGTTACAAGTCGATTGACGGATCACTTTTCTGAGGGTATTAATCCCTTCAACAACAAAAACAATAATTATTTAGTCACTCAATCCACGACTGTTTGTGGTACACTGCCGTGCGCAATTGGCTGCCATGTTTCGCCTTCAAAAGACATAGTTCGCTTTACAGTATAGTCTGTGAAGCGCTTTGAGACGTCTTGAAGACGTGATAAGGCGCTATATCAAATAGAAGGATTATTATTATTATATTGTCATTCACAAGCATGAACCTGTGCCACACTTGTAGTCCTGCGTTGACTTATGTGAAAGTACAACTTCTTGGGATCTGAACATAACTGATATCATCCAACATCACGATGGACTTGTTGAGTGCTCCCTCATATTATTTGGAGAGTGGGTACGACTGGTCAACTAACATATCTAAGTCTTTTCAAACCACCGCCACCCGACAATTCTGTACCATCAATGGAATACATGTGCCTCCAACGTGCCATACTTTGCAGTCATTTGCAAGTTTTTCAGCCAAGTTGCATATCCTGTCAAACTCTCTCGGTAAAATATTGGCTTGCCTCATCGAATTTTACAGTCATCTGCAAATGTAACTACTTTGCACTGAATCTGGCAATTGCACTCAATATCATGCTCAACCAAGCCGAGCAATAGGACTGTACAACCTGAGAGGCCTATTTTATGGTGACCAGAAATAAAAATGTAGCCTTTATCTGTAATTAAACAAGGGAGACTGCTATCAATAGGAAAAATTGTGATGAATTTCAGATCCAGGGGAGGTGGCAGGACCTCTGGTACTCTGGTCAACTCTCCTCCTGACCAACAATCCTGCAGATAAATAGGCCTTCACCTCAAGTTGCTTGTGGGACCTTGCTCCCCAGATAATGACTGCTCCACAAGCCTACAAAAGCAGTCCTTCACTTAACTGTTGTTGCTTCAGCTTAGGAAGGTTCTACAAAAATGCAAGTTTATTTTTTTCATAGGAATATAGGAACAGGAGTAGCCCCTCGAGCCTGTTCTGCCATTCTATACGATCATTGGCTGATCTGTACCTCAACTCTAATTACCCGCCTTTGCCCCGTATCCCTTGATCCCCTGACCTAACGGAAATCTGTCCACCTCAGTGTTGAAAATTTGAATGGATCCAGCATTCACAGCCTTTCAGGGGAGAGAGTTCCAGATTTCCATTACCCTTTGTGTGAAAAAATGCTTCCTGCTCAAATTTTAAGATGATGCCCCCCTTGTTCTGGATTCTCCTACCAGAGGAAATAGTTTCTCTGCAGCTATCCGGTCAAATCCCTTTATTATTTCTAAAACTTCAATCGGATCACCCCTCAACCTTCTAAACTCAAGGGAATACAGTCCACGTTTATGCAACCTGTCCTCATAACTTAACCCTTTAAGCCCTAGTATCATTCTGGTGAATCTGCATTGCGCCCCCTCCACAGCCAATATATCAGGTTTGGTGCAGTGCCCAAAACTGAACGCGGTCCTCCAGATGGGGTCTGACCAAGGCTCTATATAGTTGAAGCATCATTTCCTCTCNTTTATTCCAGCCCCTTGAGATAAAGGCCAACATTCCCATCAGCCTTTTTGATAATTTTTTGTACCTGTGAACTTGTTTATAGTGATTTGTGTACTTTGACACCCAAATCCCTTTGCTCCTCCACAGCTCTTAGTTTTACCACCATTTAGAAAATATTCTGTTTTACCATTTTTTACTCCACAAAACCAGAGATGAAATTGGATGTCCTCACATTTCCCCACATTAAACTCTTGAAATCCATCTGCCTTACTTTTGCCCACTCAATTAATCTGCCTGTGTCCCTTGGTAACTTCCTGCGCCCATCTACACAATTTACTGTGCCTCCTAACTTTGTATCATCTGCAAATTTAGATATCAAACTCATCTAATTAGGGTGACCAAAAAGTGTCTCAATACCATTACAATGTCTAATAAAGTGTTAAAGAGATGATGATAATTATTAGTGATTCTTATTCAAATAAATGGTATCACAACTTTTTGGTCACCTTGTATATATGGTGGAAAGCCACAGCACAGACCCCTGGAGATCACCACTTGTCACTTCCCGCCAATCCAGAGAATGTTCCCTGTTTCCTGCCTCCCAACCAGTTTGGTTTCTGCAAGGCAAGAAGCCAAAACGGTTGCCCTCCTAAATTCATCTCTGGTTCTGTGCATGTCTTGGCATCCAATTCCTAAGATTTCAGAAATCAGCCAGCAATCCCTCCGAAGAAACTATTTTGAAAAGCTGAAAGGGGTTTCTTTCGTACTTGTTCCATTTTTATGAACGTTAACTAGTTAAGCTTTGGATAATGGATAAGAAGGATAATTTTAGTGGATCTCAAGTGTGAGATGGAAATTAATTGGTATCTTTCCAGCAGCACTTGTGTCACGAGGGACCCGAAGCTCAAGCAGTTCATAAAATGTGAGCAAAAGTCCCAATTAGACCACCGCCAGAGGCTTTGGGGAGGGGGTGGGACGAGAGACATCTTATCTCTTTATTTCTTAGATCCAAGGCCACAGTGATGCAGAACTCTAAATGGTAATGTTGCACTGAGGAATTGGAAGTGTGTTTGATAATAGGTGCAGATCAGTGTTGACTGATTCAGAGAAACCACAAGTGAGCTACCAACCTCCAGGTCCAATTAAAAAACAATGGGATGGATTGAGCTGAGAGCAAGTTTTGGCATTGATATTTCATTTGTTTAGCACTTATAGTCCTCGTCAGTGAGGTGGGAGTAATACTTGTGTTTCTGACTCCAAGGCTTTTAATGCTTAGTTTAGTCTTCTCTCTTCAGCACATTTTTTTCCAATTAATTATTTGATGATGATGAATAATAATTTATTTTATGCTTATTAAATAATATAAGTAATCATTTATTATTCATCATTGTCAAATAATGATTTGGCCCTTGCTATAACTCACTCTTGTTCGTGGCGACTGAATTAGCTGCTTTTTATGGGCCTCGCTTTAACCCAGTTAACACACCCCGAGCCCCAGCCAAACCAGAAGTTCTGGATTCTGGAGCTTAACAGCAACTTCCTGTGCAAATAAATGTCCGAATTTCAGGTCGACAGGTCGCCGCTGATGACACTTCCTGCGGGTTGCACAGGAAGCTCGCTTGAACAACAGCAGCAAATTTCGTGTCGGGAGGTCGTCCCAAGGCACTGGACAGTCAGGGATTTTGACCCGAGCAAGGGGTTGGGATCGGGAGGGATGGAGGGCAGGGAGGGTAGGAGGGTGACCGAAGGCGTGGTTGAAGAGGAAACGACGTCACCACAGCGGGTTACAAGATTGTGGAATCATAATGGACATTCACACAGAACAATTATAGCATTTAAGAAGGAGAAACAGGGATTTGGGAAGTAACAGATACAGAGACAATGAGGGAGATTGAGATCAGAAAGATATAATGCATCTTCCATTTATCAGATCATCATCTTCTGGCTTTTTAATGCCAAGTCGGTTTTCAATCCATGTAGCTCTTTTGCAGTTGCACTCGATGGCCTTTTTGCTTCATTAGCCTTGTGTGGAAGATTGTCAAATATTTTTAGAAAGTCTTAACTGGATTATATCCACAGGCCTGGCTCTCGTCCAACTCATTTTTGTTATCGGC